ACACACACACACACACACGACACACACACACACACGCACACACACACACACACACACACGCACACACACAGGGGCGGATCTACGGGGGTCTGGGGGGTCCGGACCCCTCCCCTTTAATTTCAAAGTGCCCAAAAAATTTCATCCCAATTTTTTAGGACTAGTTTTTCTGATAAAGATTTACTTATATATAGGCCTATATAAATTTGTTATAAAAACCTAGAAATGGGCGAAGAGGGGTCCGCGGGGCGTCCGGGGGACCGGATCTGATGATTTTTTGTGAATTTCAGAGGTGAATTTCACTGTAGGATGACTTAAAAGATAATTTTCTGCTAAAAATTTGGAATTCTATCTTGCATTCTAGACATCAAAATTACTGCTAAGATGCTCTCAGAATGTACTAATTTTTAAAAGTTGTCTTGCGGGAGGTGCGTTCGGCACGTCGCATAAGCTGTCTTTGGCAACTTTTTAAAACACCAGAATAGTTAAGCAGGAAAAAATGCCCTTTATTTTTTCCTGGGCACCCCCCTTTGGAAAATCCTGGATCCGCCCCTGACACCCACACACACATTATTTATCAGTTATCATTCATAGTTTATCATCAAACGTCCGATTGTGTTCGCGAGCAAGACAGAAACAAACAAGACATTGGACCTCGACTTACCTTTCCGTCTGAGCTGTGCTCTCTATCTACCTGTCTGACGTAACCGCCTACCTGTAATTAACGAAATAGGTGTGGCTCCGTCTGCAATAGAAGGTGTTTTTAGCGGGGGTTCTCGTTGCCTGCCTGTTTTTTTATCTCTTTCGCCGTCCCTGTCGCGGTCTTTTTACGATCCAATTGCAGTCTCGTTGTTACGGTGCTGTCACGGTCTTGTTACGGTGTTTTCTAGATACGGTCTTGATACGGTCTTGTTACGGTGTTGATGTGTTCTATATACGGTCTTGATACGGTCTTGTTACGGTGTTGATGTGTTCTATATACGGTCTTGATACGGTCTTGTTACGGTGTTGATGTGTTCTATATACGGTCTTGATACGGCCTTGTTACGGTGTTGATGTGTTCTATATACGGTCTTGATACGGTCTTGTTACGGTGTTGATGTGTTCTATATACGGTCTTGATACGGTCTTGTTACGGTGTTGATGTGTTCTATATACGGTCTTGATACGGTCTTGTTAAGGTGTTGATGTGTTCTAGATACGGTCTTGATACGGTCTTGTTACGGTGTTTTCTATATACGGTCTCGATACGGTCTTGTTCCGGTGTTGATCTATTCCTGTTACAGTCTTTTTTGCTTGCTCTGTTATTCCTCGCTGACACGCATGCACACACCTTCCCGCATGATATATGTGTTTATGAGTATGTATACAGCACATGTAAACACGGGTACACGCACAGACAGCACAGGCAGCACAGTGTGAGAATGTAGAGAGATGTGAGTGTGAAGATAGTATATGTACGTGCGTGTGTAGAGAGAGTGCCGCTGGGTGGAGCGACCTGCAGATATGCTAGCGCCTACGTTTGTTTTAGCGATGTGTGTGTGTGTGTGTGTGTGTGTGTGTGTGTGTGTGTGTGTGTGTGTCGTATGTGTGTGTGTGTGTGTGTGTGTGTGTGTGTGTGTGTGTGTGTGTGTGTGTGTGTGTCGTGTCGTGTCGTCGTCGTGTGTGTGTGTGTGTGTGTGTGTGTGCGCGCGCGCGCGCGCGTATGTAGGCGTGCTTGTGTGCGTATTCGTGTGCGTGCGTGCGTGCGTGTTTACGTCTGCAAAATAGCACAAATACATAATATCAGGAGTTAATAAAGACAAACTCTTTATTTCATTAACTCCTGATATTATTACCTCCGCCAAAGAGGTTCTGTTTTCGCTCCTGTTCGTTTGTTTGTTGGTTTGTTGGTTTGTTTGTCTGTCAACAGGATATCTCAAAAGGTTACGGACGGATTTTGATGAAATATTTTGGACAGGCTGGTCTTGGGCCAAGAACCAATCGATTAAATTTTGGTGGTGATCCGGATCCAGATCTGGATCCAGGAATTTTGTCAGAATCCTCTAATCGCTTCGCTTCGCTTCGTTTCGTTTCGCCTTTGCTTTTTCTTTTTGTAGGGGTTATGATGTAGTATAACAGATACTAAGCGTGCGCAAAGACATGTCTGACCGAATAATTAATCACCCGTTATCAAGAGGATTAGATGATTTGCTGCATTTATTTAAGGAAATAAAGAATTAGGATCAACATTTGCCTATATCTATGTACTCTTGGGTATGTGCTCAGTATAAGTGCATAATTTCAACAAAATCATATATGTATATCTAGACATCGTTTTTATTATGTACAAAATTTACAACTTACAGTCGTAACATTATACATGTAACACAGGATTGTGGCTTTGAGCCATTGAATAAATACAGTTGAACGTACATTGCTCTAATGCAAGCGCGATATTCACATGCTTTCATTTATATCAATATATATTATTTAGCAAATTATTTATATAATTGTCTTCAATTATTACATTGTTACCTCTGTCTACAGATAATTGTTTCACATTCAGTTGATTATACCGTCGTTAGACTCGATGTGCGTTTTAAGCATAATATCCGTAGTTTGCTTGTCCGTATCCAGCATTACGGCGGCACCCGTAACCACTGCATGCTGGTACTACGGGGGTCGCTACATTGATTCTGGGGTAGACAACAGGCGCTACAGCAATGTTAGCTTGCGGTATGTTGGTATTGATGGCAGGCAGAGCAATATCCTCGCTCCTGTAGCCAATGATGGGACGCTCGTAGGTGTAAGCGTACAGGATCTTCGGCTGGTACCAGCTGTATCCGTTCCTGTATGCGTACTGGTATCCTCGGGCCTTGGCGGCGGTTTCGGCAGCCTGGGCTTCATCGCGGGCGTAGTCGGCACCGGCGGCGGATCCCTCACGGACGTAGGAGCTGCTGGCACTCCTCTGACCCTCTCCTGCTACTCGTGCTACAGCCAGTGGTCCCTGAATGACGGTGGTGTGGAACTCTGGGGCGGCAGTGTATTCATCCACAGCGCAGACGTAACCCATCAGGGCAAAGACGATGAGCAACTTCATTGTGATCTGAAATGTCATCACACATCATTATAGATGATCTAGCTGATGGGTATAAATAACGATACAATGATTTATATTAGAACATGCAGTTCTCTATAGTTAGTATCTATCTCATGATTACTTTCCCCATTATCCCCATATCAACCAGATTGCCATTATCCCGTTAGATCTAACTATACCATCACGTAAAGTAATTCTTAATTGAACAAACAACACAGCTAGATTGAATCAATTTTCAATATACGCACGTCATCACATTATATGGAAAATTATCCGTTAGAAAAGCAAATATTAACACCGGACCTATTTTTTTTTATCAATTGAGTCATAAATAAGCAATTATTCGCTCTCATATTTTACACCGCGATGGGAAATTATACATAAGCTACACTCATCGTAGCCATCATGTATATATGGACTGCAGATTTCAAAAGTTTGATTATATTCTCAGCTTTTCAAATATATACTATAACATACTATTACAAAAATCTCACTACACTGGTAACGCACCAAACTATATATATGGACTTCACATAAAAGTAATTACAATCTTATATTATATTATATTATATTATATATCTTACTTATACTTACGTATATCGAGACTTGACGGCAAACGGTCACTGGTAGCATATGTGAGAGTGTCTTCTCTGCATTTCTGGCGCTGTTTATATACCGTCTGTACCGTCCTCGTCACCGCGTGTAAGATAAAGCTAACGACGTTCTAACTGCTGCGAGGTCGTGACATTCGAAAGTTCGTAAAATCGACGTCGTCTGCGCAAGCGTGTCACGTGACGCGCGCATCGCCATATTGACGGCCGCGGCTATTATTAGCAACCTGATGTAATCGGTGGGATTGTTGCGCGGTGACACGTGACTGACCCTCGGACGTAGGCGTAAACTCTACGTACGTTACGCTGACGTAATTTTACGAGCATATTTCTTATTAGTGGCAGACCTTCTCCGCCGACATTTCGCACAGCCACGTATGATCAGTACGGTACGTAGAGTACGCACACTGCCGGCAAGTGCGAGTTGCTAAAATAGCATGACACGACCTCAAGATTAGTTCTGACTTGCTGGCATCTTCTGCCCATCTAGTAACCTTTTAGTCCACATCATCTCCATCAATCAATATTTCCTCCTAATGTCCATGAAGACAATTTAATGTTATTTTACACACAGAATGCTAATCAATATTTTCCGAACATTTTACAGTATTGATTATAATTAATAAATCCTACCGAATACAAGGTACGGATCCATTAAAAGCGATCAAAGCAAGACGATTGTAATGTCAATAATTTATCTTAAATGTTTCTTCAGCTTCTTTAACATGGGGTGCTTTTCATGAAGGAAATGTTTTCATGCCAGAAGAAATAGCTCTGTTTTTATTGTCATTACATTACTTTATTGTATTAGTATTTGTATTATTATTTACACAAACGAAATTCAGATGTAATGATTTGAGGACGCATAGTGAGCTGCACATCTTGTGTCCGTTTAAGCACTAAACACTACGATGCAAGTCGTGCGCATAATAACCTCAAGCAATTTCTCAGCAGCACTCGTCTGTACGTATACTCTAGAGACCGCATATAAACAGAGCATATACTCTATCTGGGACATCGTCAACGTCAAGACTTGGTTGATCACCGAGCGTGCGTTCACAGTGCACATGTGACAGATGACAGCAAACACGAAACAATGTCATCTCCATCTGTCACTGACAGTCACGCCGCGATCAACCCCGCATCTAATAAGAAAGAGAAAAAGAGATAGAAAGAGAAAGAGGACGAGAAGGAGAGAGCGAGAGAGAGCGCGCGCGAGCGAGCGAGAGCGAAAGACAGAGAAGGTGGGCGACAGAAAGAGAGAAAGAAAGAAACGGAGAGAAATAGAAAGGGAGAGAAAGAAAGAAAGAAATAGAGAAAGAAAAAAGAAAGCGAAAAAAAAAAAAAAAAAGAGAAACAGAAACAGAACGATAAAGAGAACTAGAAAGAGGAAAAGAAAGAGAAAGTCCCGGCCTTATTTTGCACGCTGATCTTGGCTCTCACGTTGACCTCTTTAGGTGACAGTGTAAAACGCAACCATCGTAAAAAGCAACCATATAGATCTGCCCCTGGCAAGTCATCAGGGTTACAAGTGATCACGGCCAGTGCAATCGATTTACAAACCCGAGTCGCGGACCTCTGCGTCTGCATTGAAATTGGAGGGCAGAGCTCTAGCCTGAGTATGAATTTCTAAGAGGACCAGTTTAAAATAAGGGTGGGGTAAAGTTCGTAACTCAGCTGGGTAATAACGAGGGAGGAGCGCTGCAGCTTCCAGTAAACTTGCATATCCTAGTGAATGCAGAGAGACGAGAATGACTGCGGTGTGAGGGTTTCACGAATGACGATTTACACATATTCGAGGCTTATTTAAATCTATGAAGCGGTTATGCTTTTAAATTCAGGCGGCCAATTTCTCCCATCTCTCCCCCCGTGAGGCTACGGCCTTTCACAGCGGTCCGTTTTGCAGACCGAGTTAATGATCACGAATGTTAATACCTAGACGAAACAGAGAAGCAAAGACAGTTCGCCGGGGCCGCCGTGACGTCACACGGAGCGCCGTCGCCAATGCCCGCTGCCGATGCCTATAAATGACGTAGCTCGTCACCGCCGCAACGTGGAGGGTCGGGGTCGATTTCCACACTTGGAACAATAGTAAGCTACGAAGTGGAGCAAATATAGAGCGTCTGAAAGTAGCCAACACCGCGCGACAACGTGACAATGTGACAAATTGCCTTTTTATTGGCACAACGGGACAGTGTGACAAATCACCGTTTCACTGTGCTCCGCGTATATATATATATATATATATATATATATATATATATATATATATATATATATAGTTTACGCGTGGAGCACAGACACGTGACTCTATCAGTTTCACTTTCAGAGGTTAAGGCCATGGTCTAACAATTGTATATATCTAATTGACTTATCTCACGAGTCCTTCGCCTCATAGTTCAATGGGCAGATGAGAGAGGGAGGAGCGAGCGAAAGAGAGATATGACGAAATGTCAAGGCTTAAAGCTAAAACGTTCTACTATAAAAAGAGCCAAGTAAGAGGAGAGAATATATCACTTGACCACCGGCGTACCAGCGTTTACCAGCAAAGCAAGCAATCCTTCCATCAATGGTAAGCATATTATGTAGCCTATTACATATGTATGTATAAATATAATATAAGTTAACATATGTCATTTTATGTGATGGACTAAAATCCGTTAACATTACAAAACAATAATTTAGTTCAGATGAATGATGGCATAGGCTAGGCATACAGATAATACTAGATGCATGATACCCAAAATGTAGCTATTACTAGTAGTTCGTGTATGTTTATGATACTGTGCCATGTAGAAACAGCATATGTTAGGATCAACTATCATTATTAGCAGTATATTATAAAGGCGCACACGCACGTTCATCGAAATAGACAGACATGTACGAACGTTTAACATACATTTAACGTATTAACGAAGTGACGTCACATCCCATTCAGACCAGTCGTGTACACCAGAGTATGTTACACGCGTCCGCGGCACGCGCACGCACGCTCAACTCTTGAATTAAACGAAATTGTGACGATGGTTTACCAACTCTAGTTTGCATTTCAGATCACAATGAAGTTGCTCATCGTCTTTGCCCTGATGGGTTACGTCTGCGCTGTGGATGAATACACTGCCGCCCCAGAGTTCCACACCACCGTCATTCAGGGACCGCTGGCTGTAGCACGAGTAGCAGGAGAGGGTCAGAGGAGTGCCAGCAGCTCCTACGTTCGTGAGGGATCCGCCGCCGGTGCCGACTACGCCCGCGATGAAGCCCAGGCTGCCGAAACCGCCGCCAGGGCCCGTGGATACCAGTATGCTTACAGGAACGGATACAGCTGGTACCAGCCGAAGATCCTGTACGCTTACACCTACGAGCGTCCCATCATTGGTTACAGGAGCCAGGATATTGCTCTGCCTGCCATCAATACCAACATACCGCAAGCTAACATTGCTGTAGCGCCTGTTGTCTACCCCAGAATCAATGTAGCGACCCCCGTAGTACCAGCATGCAGTGGCTACGGGTGCCGCCGTAATGCTGGATACGGACAAGCAAACTACGGATATTATGCTTAGAACGCACATCGAGTCTAACGACGGTATAATCAACTGAGTGTGAAACAATTATCTGTAAACAGAGGTAACAATGTAATAATTGAACACTTATTCAATTTTCTATATATTATTAAAATAAATGAAGACCTGTGAATATCGCGCTTGCATTAGAGCAATGAACGTTCAAATATATTTATTCAATGGTTCAACTGTTACGACTGAAATCGTTTGTAAATAATAAATATGATAACTACAATAACAATTGTGTTACGGGTGTTATTTTGCTACCATCACGAGACAATTACAGCTTATACGCATACGTATGCAACGCGATACGTGGCGGCGAAACATGGTATATAGTCTTTACATATGTTTTAGTATCTTGCGTAGAAGAATATCTACCTTGTCTTGATTCATCTCTATCCGCAACCAGACGTCGTTGCGCTTGTTTACATCTAGATGTCCAATAAAAAACTTTTAACTTCAGAAAGAATCCACAATATTTTCAGGCTTGACAGTTCGGCCAGCTCTGAATTATTTGACATACAATGACATTCTTACACGATATGTATTACTGTGTAATAAAGTGTAAATAAAGTGTTTGAATTGAATTGAATTGAATTGAATTGAACTGTGTTTACTCTGTTCGCGTTGTTCGCTAGTATTTTAGCTCCCTTGCTACGTGCCTTCTCTATCTGCTGTCTCCATCTTTCTTTCTCTCTCTCTCTCGCGGTCTACCTCTTGCTACATCCCTCTTTACCTCTTGCGACATCTCGCTCTCTCTTCCACTATTCCTATCTATATGTTACCATTTATTATTAGTGCCGACTTTTATACCCGCGTGATTCCCTATGCGTCTTTTCTTAGTGATATTACGCCTGAGCGTTAATGATATATAATATATATATATCTTACTATAAATTGGGGAATTTCTGTCTGTGTGTGTGTCCGGCTATACGTTTCCGCACCGCTCAACGGATCCTCTCCATACTTGGTCGGAACATTCTACAGATCATGACACGTTGCATAGGCTTTTTATTTTTCTTCAGTTTTATTTTTTCATATTCCACGATCAAAAACATTAAAAAAGTGCGGACATTTTTGCACCGAACGCGGGGCAACGTCACAACACGAAAACACAATGGCAATGTAAAAAAACAATGTATAACCAAAGGCGCTCCATCTAAGATTTTCTAAGTCGCTCCATCTTAGTATAAATTGGGGAATTTCTGTGTGTGTCCGGCTATACGTTTCCGCACCGCTCAACGGATCCTCTCCAAACTTGGTCGAAACATTCTACAGATCATAACACGTTACATGGGGTATTTTTTTTTCCACAGTTTCATTTTTTCTCATTCCACGTTCAAAAACATTAAAATAGTGGGAAATTTTTGCACCGAGCGCTCTAGGGGTTTTGGTACGCGACACACCTTCTCCCCAAGATGTGTAAGTAGACCATGTTTGATCACGCTAGGTCAATTAGGAGTCGAGTTATAGAGCGGAAGGGAGTGTCTGCGGCGGCGGCGGCGGCTGGACAGACATGAAACCATAGTATAATACTCTTACAAGCTATCTTATTTTTTTTGTTAGTTAGTTCTGATCACCTAACGTGCATGGACTAGTTTATATAAACCTATGAAATGTAAAGACGTTCACCAGCATACTTCTAATACGTCAAAAACGTACACTCCAGTAAAAATAACTTGAAGGCGCGTACTACCGCTGAGAGGGTCTATGTCCCCCAGGGTACTGCCGGACCGTACCTCCACTAACGAGTCTAGGGAGTCGCCTACGCCTACTTCCTAATCCTAACCATATCAGATAGTTACCAGGGTACGTTCCGGTATACCGGACCGTACCCAGGGTACGTTCCGGCAGTACCCTGGGGGACATAGACCCTACGAGCCGTACTACCGACAGCACAATATATAGCTGTGTAAAGTATGCAATTACAATTATCATGAATCTAAATAGCCAATTTCAGGTATCTCTACTTATACCTACATAATCACCGTAATAGTAAATAAAGTGTGTGATAGTAAATATATATGATAGTGAATGACAAAAAATTAATCTATTTCTTTAGTATATATATACAATACAATAAATGAACAAAAACATTTTTTTCATTCACTCCTACTAACACCGCAAATATTATATGACATTATTTATAGAAAAATACATTCCTAAACCAGTAAAACAAAGTTTACACGGATAACCTTATAGTCTATTTTATGCTTATAGATTGCGCTCCATGGGCAATAATTTCTACAATTCTCCACTTCATACAAGAGCAATGGCCATAGGCCTACATAATATACTGTAACAGTCTCTCCTCACATTGGGGTGTGTTTTCACATCATTTTTCATATATATATATATATATATATATATATATATATATATATATATATATATGATCATATAAGTAGTTACGACTATATCAAGTCTAAGATGGCATTGACTACTTGTATTTCTGACAACCACCCCAGAGATGTTAGATATTATGAAAGGGACGTCCTTGACTCTTGTATATTCAGTATTAGCAAGTGCAGCAAGATAAAGTCATAGAGACAATAATACTGTTATCGCTAATGCATAATCTAATACATAATCACTGTCAAATCTCCATTTACTAAAGATTTGCATGATTACTAAGATAACCTTAATTGACAAGCAGCATGATACGTATTAATCTCACTCGGTTATATAACAAAGAAAAGCACAATTAATCAATCATCCCTTTCTTTCATAATTCCATTCCATAATTTCATTAGTAACAGAAATAAATAAAGTACTGTAGTTCATCGATGTTTTTTGCAGAGTAGTTACGAAGGAATTATAGTGAGAAACATTGCCATTTCACAACTCACCTCCTAACCATTTGATGGGACAAAAATATAGGAAATATAGCTCTAGATTATCCATCAAAATATAGGAGAAATATAGGGATTTTGAGAAATTGAGCAGAAGCTGTGCACGCATTCACCATACAACCTTGGCTCCTGGAAGGTCTTTAAGTTAAAACAATTATAGAAAACTAAGATACTCAGTCTGCAGGAATAGGATATTGACTTTTCAAAGAGATGTACATGACCTGAAAACGTCATATAAGAACAACTTCACTCAAGAATGCTTGGTGTACTCCAGGTCCACCAAATAGAAGTGGAGTGCCTTGATATTGGACCACAGCAAGTTCTGGTGAAGATGTTCTTATGAGCTACAGTGCCATCCATCCTACAAATATAATCTTTTATGCTAAGGATTAGTTGCTGGTAATCTAACTACAAGCCTGACAGATGCCATGGACAGGATACACAACCAAATCTCTAAAACTGGCTGGCAAGGCATTGTCATAGAAATAAGAATACTACCCACTTATGTATCAGGGGCCAAGAAATTGTTATAGAGAAGATTGGTGTAACGAATTATCTTGGCAATGAAAGTCCAATATCTGTCTATAGAAGAGAACTTGGTGGGCCATAACAGACAATCTCTCCCCCTATCAAGTTACCCAAAAATTGCCAGCCACTCAAAATATAGAAAATATAGGTTTTGTCAAAATATAGGAGTTTTATATAATCTTATAAAACATATAGAAAATAACCGAGCATAGGTTTCGACTAGCTTAGGTACTTGTAAGCCCTCAATACCTGTAAACCAATTCATGTCACCGAGGAGATTAGGACAATCTGTGAGAAAACGTCTTGCCATCCTACCGTATAAATGTCAACTACAGACTAATATAAACATCCAATGCAGTCTGTCATAACAATCTCACTCTGGAATAACCAGCATAAAAATATCACACATAGCCCAACCATATTCTATAACATTACACGGGTTACATAGACGGTGTTAAAGTCTGTGTGCACATGTGCGGTGTATGCTAAGGATTGCGTCTAATAATAATGTACACTGACTACTGAGTACACAATATGCGATGCAGTAGAGTAGCCAGCTATGACAAGAGAAGCTAGGTAAGCTATACACGGCACGGCAGTGCCATCTGGTGCGTTTTTTAGTGAGTGAGTCTTTAGTTATTAGCACTTATGCACGTATTCATTATCCATTACAGAATAAAGAGAAATAGTTATATATATAAATATATGTATATATATATATATATGTATATATATGTATATATATATATATATATATATATGTATATGTATATATATATATATACATTATAAAGATAATCAGCAGTTTGTTCACGTTAGTATCATGAACATTTGGTGGCTACAGCAGGATATAGATAGCTATATATAAGATAATAGCAGGAGTAAAGATATGGTGGTAGTTACCGCAGCAGTACAGATGCTGCTGTAGCTACAACAGGAATATAGGTGGTGCTATAGCTACAACTCGTCATACGTCATTGTTTTCGTGCCAAAGACCGAATCATATCTGATGTGATCTGCTTGTGACTGCCTTGCCCATCCAGAGGAAGATGGCCACTGAACTATATTGACTGCACGACACAGCACGACTGCACGATATCCAGCACGACACAGCACACACTGATGATGGACAAATATTCGTGGCATGGCATTGTGAACTCTATCTCGGATGCATCCGCAGAGATGCCAACACATATTTGAAGCAATCTGTAGTTTTTGGCCATCAAATTAGTAGTTCGAAGGTCACGTAGTGACCTGAGTTTGCTAGGGGGGTCCGGCATGCCCACCGGAAAAATTTTGATTCTGAGATGCAATTTCCTGCATTCTGACGGTCAATAAAAAAAAAAATTTCCGATCAGTGAAATTCGTAGTTTGAAACAAACTGGTCGTAGTGGTGCAAAAGGAATAGAAATTCGTATAAAATACGGATAAATCGTAGTGGTTGGCATCTCTGCATCCGCTGAGTAGTAGTAGTAGTAGTATAGCTACAACAGTGTGCAATCGGTGTTGTCAGTGCGGTGGATTGGAGGCGGAGGGATCACACTGGGAGGTGGCTCCGAGTATTCGCCGTCAATGTACACCCAGATGATGTACTCAAAGCGCTCAGCCTTCTCACCATCATTGTCCGTGTGCATGACTTCGTACCCTTCCTTGCGCTCGGCTGAGCGCCCCACGCGCGACGGCACGGTCTCCACTGCCAACACCTTCGCACCTGTGTAAGACGCAAGTAACTATAGTACGTGATATATACACATGCACGCACACACAAACTCATATAATATAGTGAGTCATGTACAGTGAAACCAGTGTTAGTGGATACACCTGTGGATCAGACGACCGTCTATAAAGGACACTTTTGGCATTTCCCTTAAAGTGATTACGTCACCATAAATAGTAAAAGGAAAAAAAACTCATGTACACTTTTTCACAAAATGTAAGTAATTCTGTTCACTTTTTATGGTTAAATTGCTGTATTATACTTCCTATTTTACTATATTGTTTGATGTAAACATACACTCGTAACTCATACATAGCCCATAGCAAGCAATAATGTCAGGATCATAATACCAAATCGTCCAGGTTTTTTGGATTTTTAACTAGTTGAGAAACAATCTTATCAGGTAAGAATTTGAAGATACATTTGGTCCTGTCAGTACTTACTTTTAATGTAAAAAAATGGCAACAAAATCTTTACAAATATACACCATAGAAAATTCGTGACGTAGTCAATTTAAGGAGCAATTATATCGTGAAACGACTTTCATAGAATGGACATTGGACACCCATCTATAAAAGATTCTTTTGGCATTACCTTCAAGTGGAACTAGTAAAGTGGACCCACCTCTATAGAATGAACAACTGTCTATAAAGAACATATTTCAGGGTTCCTTATTGAGTGACCCTTTTATAGAAGTTTAAGCATAATTAAAATCACTATTAACATATATAGTAGTGGTGACCTCTACATTCTGTAATAAAGAGATAGTATACTATTACAAGAGCGCCACAGGATGCATAACACTTGCTGTTTTTTTCCGAACTGTTATATCTCGACAATGTGAGCACAGATGGTGCAAGACCTTCTATAGGTATCTCAGGAAAAATGCCGCGAGGTCACACTTTTACTGAATGTAATGTAAATGATGACTTTTGCAGCATTTTAATACTTGACTGCTGCGCTACACATGACAAAGAATGTACGTCACTGACAATATCATGAAACCCATGGTACCTACTCGATTTCTAATCTGCTAAACATTGTCATCTCCCCCAATAAAACTCATACAGACATATGTTCAATGTCGTCATCGCCACAAGTAACAAACAAAGAGGCAAAGTTGTGCGACCAGAGATGAGAACGGCCCCGGACGAAATCAGCGAGATATACTTCTACTTACTGGTAGAATAGCGCAAAAAAATTTGTAATTAGATGCTTGCAGATGCATTCTGAGGCACAGAAATTTCGAAAACTAGCTTGTTCATGAACGCCGCCATTGCGCGCGCATTGCCGCACAGTGTGCGAATGAATAGTACATTTGTCGGCCGTGGGACGGCGAGCTCAGATGGTAAAAGAGCATCACTAGCCGCGGGACATTTTTTCACTGCCCGCGGGTGGCAGTACACCCCCTACAGTTTTCTCAACGAATTTGAACGATATGGAAAATTGATAATTTTCGAAAGTGAAAAACGCGGGAAACCGCGGCTCCGCAAGAGATTCTCATATCTATGTGACTCACTTTAAACGTGATCACCCCCACTACCTGCAGGCAGACGCGCGCTGGGATACATACCGGCTGCTTTGGTCCACTCGAAGATTCGACTGTTCAAGCTCGTGGCATCCTCAAACTTAGAGTCCTCCCGGATGGGATAGAACGCCTTTGAGGTGATGATGAGGTCGCGCGGCGAGGGGTGGTTGTGGTATCGCACGTAGAACAGGCGCAGGATCTTGAGGTAGTACGTGTGCGCCTCCCCGTGTTCAGTGTACACGGCACGCCGTGGCAAAATCTTGTTTTTGCCTGCGAGTACATCAATGATGGATTACTTAACAACCTAACCCAAACCAAAGTTTTTCTTATGCCTGCAAGCATAGCAATGATGGGTTAGTTAATACTCTAACCCTGACCATGACCTTAAACCGAGTGTTGAGAGCCCGATGCAAACCTGCAAAATTGAGTTAGTGTGTACCGCGAGAATTTTCTAGTGTTTTCCCCACTTTCATGATACCTACCGTTATTGCTTGAATAACAGCAATTGTCTAGAGTAACGATAAAATGTCTTAGAACCTTCGTATTCACCAAATCCAATGAAATCATGCACGATTACAAATTTGTGTTCTGTTTCTGTTTACCGTTGCCATCTCTCGAATTTTCTCGTGGTAGCGCGAGACATCTATCACGGTGCAGCAATGCATACCACACACCGTAGAAATCAGGTCAGAGTGTAAACACAGCCGCTCATACTAGCGTAAACAGCAGTGTAGTCAGTACTAATGCCACGCTAAAGTCTGATTATTAAGAGAAGCTTGTGGATTTGGCAGTCGATTAGTAACAGGAGAATGACAAGAACAAAAGTGCTCTGAATTATTGACATAAAAACTCAATAATATATTATTACAGAATTGAAACCCTTTTGTTTTTAATTATGTTCGCTTGTTGAGACGCATTTGTAATTTTTGAGAGTCACATCCCGGAAAAATGTATTGCTGGGTTTGATGTGGTCAATCAATTTTTCCTATGCTATAACTGCCATAAAAATCTCCTTTGTAGTGTATGGAATGTTGGTATAAATCAAGTGATATTTCCGAACTGTCAGGTGAACACTATATTCTGCGTATATGTCGGTAATTTTCACGAGACCAAAAACTCCCAGCGGTATACACTTTAATGTAAATGTTCTAAAATCCGACTAAGAAATGGCTAAAAAACTTAACATGAACAATACCAGTACATGTATAGATACATTTCACGCTTTATTACAATAATGGAAAGCAGCTAGGCATATGTCACATACAAAGCATCAGTATTAATGTTATATAGTTGCCATATAGCAGACGGATGCAACTGCACGCCGCTCTATCAGTGTCAGAACACGCGCATAAGTGAGAGACCCTTCATTCATTTATTATATCAACGACAAGCGGCAGCCCATAGAATATGGTAGCTCTCTCAGTGAAAGAGCCCACTTGATTTATATGCATAATAACATCCAGAATGAGGGACGGATACTAGAGAAGCGTTGCCCGAAAGGATGGTGTAATAATCCAA